TTTCTGTAAATATTTTTATTGCACCCTTTTCATTGCCACCTCCCCCTCTCTCCCCCTCTCTGTCGGAATCTCCCAGGGCTCTGTCCTCAGACCCCTCCTCTTCTCCATCTATACCTCCTCCCTTGACAAACTAATACACTCCCACGGCTTCAATTACCACCTCTATGCCGACGACACAAATTTACCTCTCCACCCCTCACTCTCCGCCCGCATCGCCCACCTCCTGAACGACATATCAGACTGGATGTCGCTCCATTTCCTCAAATTAAACCTGTCCAAAACTGAGCTCCTGGTCTTCCCCCCTAGCCCGCGCCCCCCCCCCCCCCATCCTCTCCATCACTACTAACAACGCCACCATCACTCCCACCCCACATGCCAAAAGTCCTGGGTGTCACCCTGGACTCAAACCTTTCCTTTCAACCTCACGTCCAATTACTATCAAGGTCATGGAGGCTCCACCTCCGCAACATCTCCAAGATACGTACATTCTTCTCCCCAGACACTACTAAACAACTCGTACACGCCCTCATTATCTCACGCCTGGACTACTGCAACTCCCTTCTCACTGGCCTACCCAAACAAACGCTATCCCCACTCCAGTTGATCCTGAACTCAGCGGCGAGACTCATCCACCTCACCAACCACTCCACATCTGCCACCCCCCTCTGCCAATCCCTTCACTGGCTCCCGATTGCCCAGCGCATCAAATTCAATCTGCTAACTCTGACCTACAAAGCCATTCACAATGCTGCCCCAAACTACCTAACTGACCTGATACCCAAATACCACCCTACCCATGCCCCCTTCACTCCTCACAGGACCTCCTACTCTCTAACTCCCTGGTCTCCTCCTCCCACACTCGATTGCAGGACTTCTCCAGGACTTCCCCCATCCACTGGAACTCCTTACCCCAATCCAGCAGACTGTCACCTACCCTCCTCACCTTCAGGCGCACCCTGAAAACCCACCTCTTCAGGGAAGCCTGCCCCACCCTCACCTAACAACTGACCTCCTCCACTCCTCCCACCACTCCATCCCCCACAGCCATTTCCTCCTGTACCACTTTCCCCTGCCTCCTAGATTGTAAGCTTGAAAGAGCAGGGCCCTCGAACCCCTTGTGTATTGTATTGTTACTGTCTTGTCTCATGTTCTGTCCCCCTTGCTATTGTACAGCGCTGAGTAAACCCTTTGGCGCTATATAAATACTGTATAATAATAATAATAATAATGGGCAGACCTCCTCTTGGGGTTACTGTATTAGTTTTACATCATTCCACCTTTTCCTTGGGCCACCAAGAAAATAGTGTCTTTCCCACCAATTAGATGTCTATTAAGTCATACTGGGGACCCTCCAGGCAGCCCTTTGCATGTATCCCCTCCCTTCCTGGATGGATCCTGCAGGAGAGTTTGACAGTGTGTGGTTTTAATAAACAGTAAATGGCCGACTGAGTTTGCAATATGTATTCCTCATATATCCACTCTATCTCCTTGAAAAGCTTGTCAAAATGCATTGGGTCATCCACACGATTAACAACATATACATTGCAAGATCTGCTGGCATTCATGATGTTTTGTGGAATAGAGTGTGGAAATATGTATCTACTATGAGGAGCAAGCACCTTTTTGTCAGTCTTTATTATTCTTCTTTATGTGTCTTTTTATGAATTCATTGTATAATAACAGCTGGCTAATTATATATACATATACATTTTGTCACATTAGTCTGTATATGGTTGTACTTTAAAAATGCCTCCAAACATAGAATAATTTTGTTAGTTATTAAACTATCTTGGATGTTGGCGCATCCCTCCCTAGTTATGATGTTTGAATTTCACATCAAAGGGTGGTGAGTGACAGATACTTTGCTAAAAGTAACAAGTAGCCAGGACCCAGTCAAGTGTGCCAGGGTTTTGCTTCCTGTCCTATAGAGTGGTCATTGTTTTGTCGTAGTCAGTTTCTAGAATATCTCTTCTATTGCAATGTATTGCAGTTATTAGACTTTTGCTAACACGCTTTGCACAGGTACCAGAACATTTTCCAAATCTCCTAATTTGTCTTCAAGAGTTGTGCTCCTCTCCCTTATTGTTTAAAAGTCAAGGTACATTATTATTATTATACATGATTTATATAGTGCCAACAGCGCTTTACAAAATGAAGGCAGACATTACAGTTGTAAGCCGTGTACCGGGGTGGACTCCCCAGGATACAGTGAAGTCACGAACGAGGAAAGCAACCCCATCATCAGCTTTTGCCACAACAGAATTTTACTTAGATGTGGCAAATAAACACGACCACAAATGCTGGAAACATACAATAAATTTACATACACTCAGCCAAAAAGCTGAGACCCTTGTGCTGCACAGCACGGTGCCTTCTGATGGATGAAGGTAGAAAGTGTAGTAATTTACCTACTGGCGGGCACAACTAAGCTGCCACACCTTACCCGTTATTACCCTAAAAGAGCAGGAATCAGTATATGGGTGTATGGTATGGGCTAGCCGGCGGTGCAGCACGACAGCTTACAATCTTACACAAATCTATAGTATTACCCCTCCCATAACTGGTCCTGTAGCATGTGCCTGAGTATTCCTTCTGAGCAAAACACCAGTCTGTCTGAGTTTGTAGGATTTTATCAGCTCTCCATTGTGAAATGTCACTTTAAGTTGTGGACTCCTTCCAATAATCAGTAACAACACTTGTGGCCTGACACAAACAGAGACCCTAACTAACTAACTATAGGCCTGGACTAAGTCTCAAGGCGCCAACACTGAAATGAGGTGTGTGCACGATTTTACCGACCCGGGTCTGCTTTTCATCCGCTGGTGACTCTGGACAGAACACATGTCTCTCCAACAAGCATGCGGTCTCGCCGTATATGTTGCTTAGTTCCTCTGCTCTCATCAGCATTCCTGGCAGCAATCTCATCAGCTTCTTGCTAGCAATCTCATCAGCATTCCTGGCAGCAATCTCTGGTTACTGAGGGATGCTTTCACACCTGGATGTCATCAGATTTTCAGCTCACATGGCCCCTTATTCACCATGCTCCAAAACATGGCTTCTCACTCTCCTTCCTGTTCTCTCCAACTCTGTGTGAAAACTCCACCTCTTCATGAATATACAAATATCTATGCAGTCTGAGGCTGTGTTAGAAAAACAGTGACATCTTGTGGCTAAACTGTAGAATGTCAGTCAAAACATTTAATTTACCCCACACAAACAGTGTTCAAACAATGAGAGCTGTTTCCCCATCTCACACAGTTACAATACAATTTGGTACAAGAGGAAACAGAGGGCCCTGCTCATTAGAGCTTACAATCTAGGAGATTAGGAACATACCCTTCTTTATGCCATGATTTGCACCTTTAAGAGAAAAATGGATCTTTCCCCCTTATTTACCACAGCCAGTACATCAGTCTAGGTTGTTCTTGTGTCCCCATTTTGCCAAAAAGACGTACTGGCCTGTGCAGTGGTCTTTTTGGAACATGGGGTTTGGGTGGGTGTGTCCAGGTTTTCCCATTCATACACGGAGGATAAAAGTGTCATCTTGGGCCTTGCGACTGGACTTAGCAAGAGATGTGGTAATATGCAAGGTCCTGAATCCAAGCAGTACTGATGATCCCAAAAACTTGTCCTCAAAATTTTAATTTCAGTGAAAATAAAAAAGTATCACAGACTAGACATGTTCATGCTGGAAAATTTTGTTTAGTTTTCAGATCCATTCAGTAATTGAAGAATTCATTTTTGGATGCATTAGTTAATGGACCTATTCGTTTTCAGAATTTTTTAGTATCTTCGGCATTAATTTTATTTGGAACAGCCCACTTGCCTACCGGACACTTATACCCCCTTCCTGCCCAGACCAATTTTCAGCTTTCAGCGCTGTCGCACTGTGAATGACAATTGCGCGGTCATGCAACACTGTACCCATATGAAATTTGTATCATTTTTTTCACACAAATAGAGCTTTCTTTTGGTAGTATTTAATCGCCGCCGCTGGGTGTTTTATATTTTTGCGCTATAAACAACAAAACAGCAAAAAATTGGGGGGGAAAAACGTTTTTCTTTTTCTTCTGTTGTTAAAGCGGGCCAAGGATCCTTTCCCCACACCCACTGTCAAACTTTAAAAAAAAAAAAAAATGGCCGTGCGGGGCTTCGCCACCCAGTCATGTCATTCATTCACAGAATGACAGAACTGCAACTACCGTCATCCATTGCGGTTCAATGAACTACCAGGGTGCTGAGTTCTCTAGCTAGTTCATTGATGCTCCTTGTCATTCAGTAACTGCCTGCCCATATCAGGTATGGGAAAATATCTACACTGACAGTATACAGGAGCCTAAAATTGCACCTGTGATCAGCAAGCTCCTAATAAAAAAAAATATAAATGCACATTGTTTTACCTGCAAAAAGATATGCATTTTTTTTTTCTTAAAGTAGAACCTTTAAAGCCAAGCTGAATGTAAAAGGTAAAAAGTCAATTACACATACAAAATATGTGATGCCTGAACACGGTGTCGCTGATGCTGTTCTTGAAACCTGTACTGTTCTTGTAACACCACCTATAGCTCAAGGCATAAGCTTTCCATGTTTTTCCATGTTGTATTGTAGATGCATTAAAAGGACCCTTTCTCTGCTGTATGGCATATTTTCAAATTATTTTTGCTTTAAGTGTTCCTCATGGAAGTGCCCAGGTCCCCAATGCTCTTTTTGACAATAGGTTGTCTATTAGCCTTGAAAATGGCAAACATTTTGTATCAAGGTTCACCTTATAGATTTCAGTGGGGTTCAAAGCTTAGTTTAGATTTTGTACATTTTAAACATGATTTGTAAAACTCAGGTAGATTTGCTCCTCCCTACTCTACACTTGTTATAATTTATAACTACTGTATTGTCATATAATATATACACTATATTGACAAAGGTATTGGGATACCCCTCAAAATCATTGGATTCAGGTGTTCCAATCACCTCCATGGCCACAGGCATATAAAATCAAGCACCTAGGCAAGCAGACTGCTTCTGCAAACATATATGAAAGAATGGGTCACTTTCAGGAGCTCAGTGAATTCAAGCATGGTACTGTGATAGGTTGCCATCTGTGCATTAAGTGCATCAGTGACTTTTCCTTGCTACTAAATATTCCACGGTCAACTGTTAGTGGTATTATAACAAAGTGGAAGCAGCTGAGCACAGCAGCAACTCAGTCACGAAGTGGTAGGCCACGTAAAATGACAGAGCAGGGTCAGTGCATGCTGAAGGGCACAGTGTGTAGAAGTCGCCAACTGTCTGCAGAGTCAATACCTAAAGACCTCCAAACATGGTGTAACCTTCAGGTTAGCACAACAGTGTGTAGAGAGTTTTATCCAGCTGTATCCAAGCTTTACATCACCAAGTGCAATGTAAAGGAAACGTGTTCTCTGGAGTGACGAATCACGCTTCTCTGTCTGGCAATCCAATGGACGTGTCTCAGTTTGGTGCCTGCCAGGAGAACGGTACTTACCTGACTGCACTGTGCCAAGTATAAAGTTTGGTGAAGGGGGAATTATGGTGTGGAGTTGTTTTTCAGGGGTTGGGCTCGGCACTAGAGATGAGCGAATCGAACTTGGCGAAGTGGAATTCGTTTCGAATATCAGGAAAAATTCGATTTGCGTCGAATCCGAATATTAGCAAACTTCGGATGCACGAATCGAATTTTCCCCGATCAGCCGGCAAAAAGTGTCCCTGCAGAGAGCTCCGCTATTTCTGACAGTTCTCTGACAGTTCCTTCACATTTACAGCGGTTGAAACATTGTATCTATTTGTTTCCATTTAGGATACAGATGTTTTTATTCGGAAACAAATAGATACAATGTTTCATCCGCTGTAAATGTGAAGGAACTGTCAGAGAACTGTCAGAAATAGAGGAGCTCTCTGCAGATACACTTTTTGCTGTACTGGAATTCTTCTTCTTTTCATTCTTCTTCTTCTTTTCATTCTTCTTCTTTCTTTTCATTCTTTTCATTCTTCTTCTTCTTCTTTTCATTCTTCTTCTTCTTCTTTTCATTCTTCTTTTCATTCTTCTCATTCTTCTTTTCATTCTTCTTTTCATTCTTCTTTCATTCTTCTTTTCATTCTTCTTCTTCATCTTTTCATTCTTCTTCTTCTTCTTTTCATTCTTCTTTTCATTCTTCTTCTTCTTCTTTTCATTCTTCTTCTTCTTCTTTTCATTCTTCTTTTCATTCTTCGCATTCTTCTTTTCATTCTTCTTTTCATTCTTCTTTTCATTCTTCTTCTCATTCTTCTTTTCATTCTTCTTCTTCTTTTCATTCTTCTTTTCATTCTTCTTCTTTTCATTCTTCTTCTTCTTTTCATTCTTCTTTTCATTCTTCTTCTTCTTCTTTTCATTCTTCTTTTCATTCTTCTTCTTCTTTTCATTCTTCTTCTTCTTCTTCTTCTTTTCATTCTTCTTCTTCTTCTTCTTCTTCTTCTTCTTCGTCGTGCCCGTGACTGCCCAAATGAGTGAAGTGTGCGGTGATTCTAAGATCGACGGCACTCATCTGCATGTCATACTGACTGACAGTATTATTTCTCTTCCCCAGCAGACTCCAAGGGCATTTAAATTAAAGGTACAGTGTTCTGCACTAATATAAAGGCTCTCTGAAGCCTAGAAACACCCTTTTATAAGTTAAATTCGCAGCGAATAAATTTGCATCGAATCGAATTTCTTTCCGCAAATTCGGCGAATCAGCCGAATCGAATTTTTGAATAATTCGCTCATCTCTACTCGGCACCTTAGTTCAAGTGAAGGGAACTCTTAAGGCATCAGTATACCAAGACATTTTGGACAATTTCATGCTCCCAACTTTGTGTGGACAGTTTGGGGATGGCCCCTTCCTACTCCAGTACACAAAGCAAGGCCCATAAAGACATGGATGAGTGAGTTTGGGGTGGAGGAACTTGATCGGCCTGCACTGAGTCCTGACCTCAACCCGATAGAACATCTTTTGGATAAATTAGAGTGGAGACTGCAAACTTTGCCATGTCAGTTTCAATCAATGTGTCCATCTCGACATAGGTTTCATGGCATAGCTGCTCTCTCCCATGGTGGCCCTCACAGGACTCATTTACCCTGACCAGGCAGGTGAAAAGGAGGTGAAGTTGGAATTCTTCATGCCCCACAAAGCACTTTTTGCAAGTTGTTCTTATATTTCACTCTCTTTCCCTCTCCTCCTTTGAGGCTCACTGTATTTTTACACAGTCACTCTCTGGATTGCAGTGTAATGGGTATTTGGCGCACTCCGAAAGGGTTAAAAATGGTGTGTGCGGAATAGGCTAGGTGAAACACAATAATGTCCTTATAATAGGTAGTTCTTATGTTAGTCCTTGTAAACAGCTGAACTAGAAGGCAGCCAGCCAGTGAAGAGCTAGAGAGAGTCCTGTGGAAAATTAAAAAAGAACAAAGGTGGTGCCCTCTAAGTGCAGCAATAAAACTCTTTAATATAACTTAAAAATGTAATACAGGCCACTCACAAAGGCATAGAATAGTGCTTGTAATCTGAAATAATAGGCATCTACTGTGTGAAGGGACGTGAGCATCTATGCTTGCAGAAGGGTCTGGTGTTGGGCGGTCACATGTGCCAGCACCAAAGAAAGAAACATCATCCAGATCCCACTTGCATGCACTCTTCCTCCAGGAATTAGGTCACAATGATTCAGGAACACATTTCGAGGAGGACCTCCCCTTCATCAACCAACCTATAGCTCGTATATATTCCTTCAGCTCCTCGTAATGCCCCCCACTGATAGAGCCATGAGTGATTCATATCCTCATAACAAAGAGTGGCTTGAGTTGGTCAGAACATAGAATGGCTGTGCGTACCGCGAGCAGCTCCCTGCACAGCTGGAGGAAACAAAGACTAATGGAATCCTGATGGGCGGCTCACTTCCTCCATACTCCAGGATTTACAAGCAATTATTTCCACTGTCTGATCTCATGCTATGGGGAAGATCTGATTAATAGTGTGGTTTGCACTCTGCCTATTTTTTCCAGATTACAAGCGCTATTCTATCATGTCTTTGTAAGTGGCCCGTATTACATTTTTAAGTTATATTAAAGAGTTTTATTGCTGCACTTAGAGGGCGCCACCTTTCTTCTTTTTTGACTCTATGAATTGCTGTGATTATTGGCTCTTAACTCATGCCATGCTTCTTTTAATGACTTTGCTGCCTGCCTAAGCAAAGTTTTCTCATCTGACATACTCACCATCGTAATTGGTGAATTTAACATCCCTGATAATTTTAACACCCCTGCTACTTCTCAACTTTCCAGCCCTGTACAACTGTATAAATCTACCCTCCTAAAACATAAACCTTCCCTCTATGTTACCAAACAGACTTGTTTTGCCACTCTCATTAACACCCTCACATCTAATTATCATAAGTTCTTTTATACCGTTAACAATCTATTTCTTGCCCCACTACTACTGTGACAGACCCGACCGGGACAGCGACGTTTGGAGGGGGCTGCAGGCTAGCCTCTTGCCTATTGACCATGGGCCCTGGCATATGAGTGGGCTCTATTATTTTGGGAGGTGTGTGCTTGGGGCGAGCTTTGGAGTAGTTTTACTTCGGATTCAAGTCCATGTCTTCCAGAAACACAGAATCTGAGAACTGGAGGACTCGGATACAGTTTTGGGGCCTCTGTGTGCAAACCAGCTTTAACCCCCCTCATAGACTCAGAGCAGATATTAATGTACTCAACTCAAAACAGCCTGATGATGAGGTCTCTTGCTGTAATCTGTTATCAAGGTGTCATGTGTAAATCTACCCTCCTAAAACATAAACCTTCCCATTATGTTACCACAACTAGGCAAAGCTGACACCAGACTACTCCCATCATGTAGGATCTTCCAGGAGGACTAGGCAAAAGACAGAAACAATAGGTGACTAAATTACCTCAATTAACAATGGGACAAAGACACATTGTTAATTGAGGTAATTTAGTCACCTATTGTTTCTGTCTTTTGCCTAGTCCTCCTGGAAGTTCCTACATGATGGGAGTTGTCTGGTGTCAGCTTTACCTAGTTATCTAAACAGTGTGGGACATTTATCCCAATGTGTAATATTTTATTTTATTCTTCAGGTCTCCCCGAAACACACAGAATCTGAGAACTGGAGGAGCCAGATAAAGTTTTGGGGCCTCTGTGCGCAAACCAGCATTGACTGTTATCTGTTATCAAGGTGTCATGTGTTTACAGTTGTGTCTTTGTCCCATTGTTAATTGAGTTAATTTAGTCACCTATTGTTTGTTTGTTGCCTAGTCCTCCTGGAAGTTCCTACATGATGGGAGTAGTCTGGAGTCAGCTTTACCTTGTTATCTAATTAGTGTGGGATGTTTATCCCAATGTGTAATATTTGTTTTTATTGTTCATGTGGGGGCTGCTCCTATTTCTGAAGTGTATAAAAGCCTATATTTCTGTTCAATAAAGTAGTTCATATTGCTCCTACGCTAATGTCATCTAGGTCTTGGGTGCCATGAACAGCTATAATAAATTGGTCCTGTGTCCCAGCGGCGTGGAAGCAGTTCTTTGACGGAAGCACCACGACGGGGGTGCCAAGTGGTCTGTCACAACTACCACCCACTAACTCATTCACTGCTTAGGACATGCCAATCATTTAAAAAACAAAAAAGATACAATTCATAATGAGATCTCTGCTGTCCATTTATCTCTCCAAATTAACATATTGGGGGAAATTTACTAAAATTGGAGCACTCAAAATCTGGTGCAGCTGTGCATGGTAGCCAATCAGCTTCTAAGTTCAGCTTGTTCAATTAATCTATGACAATAAAACCTGGAAGCTGATGGTGAGATGATGAAAAGATGGTTTCTATGCACCAGGTGCACCAGATTTTGCACCATGCAGTTTTAGTGAATAACCCCTATTATGTCTAACAACACTTTTAAACTTTCCTCTCTTTTATTTGTTGTGTTCCCATACTGTAGCTCAGAGCTTAGGTGCCTTTTTTAAATTCTAAGTGCTGGTATTTTGATATTATGTCTATAGTTTAGAAATGTGGGTACAGTACAGCAATGAAAGTGATTGCAAATCCTGACAATGAACATCTCTTATTTGCCCCTTTTTGGTCTTTTTTAATGGATAAAAACATGAGGAAACGTGCATGTACTGCAGAGATGCACTGAAAGATTTTTTTTCCCTGACACACTGTACATTTTAGGGTTAAGGTGTTACATGTTACATATACAAATTTCCAAATTTTTTGGTGTGCTTTTGCGTGTTTGTGTATTGTGTATTAGGGCAGTCTATAGGAAATAATGGGCTGCTAATGCACCAAAATGGCCCAAAAATCAGATGTCACAAAACCTTTATTACAACGTACCACAATGCAGAACAGTACAAAAACGACATACTATAACTCATGTGCCTTACTTGTGGTAAATGCATTGCTGCCTTATGATGTCATCAATTGTGAATGGTACCACAATGCAGTTGTACATTTCATGCAATTCAAAGATATAAATGACC